TAGACTTGTCTCTGACACGGTACCTCAGCTGCCTCTGCTATATTGCAATGAAGATGCATCTTTCATTTCCCTCACACTTTTTAAATACCAATATTATTTTTCTTTCATCTCATATCTGCCTCAGGACGGCTGCCTTCTCTTGTCTACCGTTAAGAAGTCCCGACCCTGGCTCTCAGAAGCCTGTTGCTGTATTCTCCTACTTCTAGAGAGACACAGCATGGCCCAGCAGTTTTCTGGACTGCCAAGGTCTCCCAGAGTCAAGTTCAAATTGTCATTCCTGGGCAAAAGAGTGCTTCTGAGTATCATTTTTGAGGCCAGCATTGTCTTAAAAACTGCAGGGAGGTTGAGAAGAGTCTAATCTGCTCTTTGCTCTCAGAGTTTATAATTCTAGTTCAGGAGACAGGTGTAAATATAAAACACAAGTGGAAAAATAATAAAGTTAAACATGAAGTCTAATGGGAACCAGGGAACTCCTGTGTGTCATGGATGTTATTTCCAGATGATGCCATGAGATTTGTTGTGTTTAGGTTCTGTGTCTGAAGGATCCAGCTGAGTAAAGGGGCGCTTTTCTTGGATTAGTTCACAGTAGCAAGGACTTCTTTCCTGGTGCATGCAGTTAATCTCCTCGTTTATTTCTTCTTTTGCTGCTCGCTGGTGCTCTGTGAGTGAGGGATTCCATTTGTATGAAAGATCTGCCACGGAAGAGTTGGCTGCGTGGTGCTTGGGCACCGGTGCTTGTTGGCATGGGTTCCAGCCTCTCCTCACATCCTACACTGTGAAGATGAATGAGTCACGCCTGAAATGCAGTCCTTTTCAACTGCAATTGTCTTTAAAAATCGGCCTAAGAATGGGCTCACATGCTCTGATTCAGCGAGGGCAAACCTCCTACTAATGTGGCGACGTCTTGTTTCTCTTGTCCCAGGGAGGCTTTCCCCAGATGGAGGCCAGAGCTGGGAGAGGCTAGAAACCCCCTGTGAAGGCAGCAAGGGGTGCAGGTAAGAAGGGGAAGAGAACCCTTCTACCAAGTAACACAGATGTGCGTGCCATCGATCGTCCCCTCCTGCAACTCTAGAGCAACTCGTACGCTCTTGGGAACTGAGGGAATCACAAGGGATCCCTATATTTGGGCTTAGAACGAATTCCCATGGGCTAGAGAGGCTGAGCTGGCCCAAGGCACGGTGTGGGGACTATTAGTCCTGAGTCCCTCTTTAGTGGACTTGGCCCACATGGTGTCACAACGCCAGAACCTTTGAGGGACAGTTACTTGATATGAGATGTAAACAGGCAAGCCGGGCCACTAGGCCCTGGCTGCTGAGGACTATTAGAAAGGAGAGACTAGGTAGTCGGTCGAGTCAGGAAACATTTAATAGCATCCTGAGCAAGCTGGTGCATGTCTGTGTTGCAGGGACTGGCCCGTCCTCCCAGAAACGTTCTACGCGATGCTCCTGCCACTAGAGGGAATGGGAGCATCGTGTGGAACGGAGGGAACCAGGGTCCCGTGAACCAGTTCTTAAAGTGAGGGTGGCATGGAGGTCACCCCTTTTAGCACCTGTGGGCCTTAGTTTGATGTCTGCTGTGGGAACACTGGTTCAAGCTCTGTGTTTTCATGCACCAACATTTTCTCTTAGTCCCCTACCTTAAGGAGTTCTGAGCACCTCATATCTAACAATTGAATAGGCTCCATAACGCAAACAAAAGCTCCCATCCTGAGAAAGGGGTAGGTCCGAGGTTTAACTCCCCAGTACCAAATACTCCTTTACTGATTGTTATTACAGTAACGTTAAGCAGATGTGACATTAAAAAAATGTGGGCAGGTTTCCCAACTTTTCATTTGACTTGAAAAGACTGATTTACTGCTGGGAAAACCTCTTTGCAGAGGGAAGCTGTGTGTGAGTTTCACTGGTTCCCTTGCCCGATGGCCTCGGGGAAGATGGGACCACCAGCATTACCAGCCCATCCTGTGTGACTTAGATGTGTTTCAATCCAAAGCACATTTGTCACCGGGTTGTCAGAACTCTCCTGTGCCGGAGGTTAGTGAGCCCTGAATTAGGCTTCCAAAGACCGCCACATCCTTATCTCTGCCGCCCCCACCCCAGCCCTCCTCCTGCTGGACACAGACCTCCACTCAAGGGTACAAACCAGGACCAGGAAACATGCCAATTCTAGAATCAGAAGGATGAAGTAGCATGTTCTTCCCCAGCCAGTGGTTCTTAAGCTTGAGTGTGCAAGAGAAGCACTTGGAACTGGTGTAGCCTGTGGAGGTGCTGGGATCCACCTCAGAGGCTCCGGCTCTCAGGGTCTCTGGACACAGTCTAGGCAGTGGCTTTCAAGCCTGGTGGCCTGCTAGAGCCTTTAAGCAAATGGATGTTGGGGCTCTATCTGAGTGAGAATAGGAGGGGAGGCAGGCCAAGGCCTTGGTCGCTTTTATAAGCTCCGTGGTCACTTGGTTATGGAGCCAGGGGAATGAGGACCTGGTGGGAGTTATGATGTCTCAGGCAGGGACACAGCTAAGGGCTCTTTGGAAGTTGTTATTGGATAAAGCAGCTGTCGTCTAGCTTGACATGCTTATCTTCAGACAAACAAGGTACCCTGCTTCAACACGGCCACTGACTCTGCTAAAAATCCATGGCCCACGGCGTGGAGGAGGATGGGGACCCCTGGATGCAGGTGCCAAAACTCGTGCGGCCGGGCGTATGTCCTTTTTTGGAGGGAGACGGCTGTCAGACTTCACTAGCTTCACTTGCTTCCCCAAACACTCATTATTTTATTCATTCATTTATTTATTCATTCATGTCCTTGAGTCTTGGTCCTATTCTGCTCCGTAACTGTTCTTATGGTTAAAGTACACTAAAAGGTATCTTTTCGTTTGACTATTTTTGCATGCATATATTTATATTTTACACAAATTGTGGGTTCTTAGGGCCCCCTTTGTTAGCATGTGTACATTAACCCATGGCTCCCACTTGCTGCATCGACCCCACGGCAGCCCCCCGCACCCTTTCACCTCTCTACTTCCCCGGGATGGATGCCCGGAAGGCTTCCAACTCTCTCTGGCCACAAACAGCTGTGGGCATCCTCATATGTCTCCTTCTGAACCCTGAGAGATAAACCCGGATGTGGAATTGCTGGGTCACGGGGGGTGCACAGACTTCTTTAGACGAAGAGGGCTGCAGGGTGCTCCAGTCGGTTGCTCCTGGTTACACTCTGATCACCTTCACTGCGTTCCCAGTGATCTAAGATCCCCACCAAACCCAGAAGCTGTTGGTTAATAGTGGAAGCTGGCTCTCATGGCCATTGCTGTTCCCTTCTCTCTTCCCAGTCTGCCTTCTCTCCCCCTCCCGTGGCAGCTGTGCTAAACCTTCATCACCATCCTCCAGTCTCTCATTCTACATGGACTTGCACAGAGAAAGCAGCGGGTACTTTCAGTTTGCTCCCTCTGCTTCTAAGTGTGTCCATGTCGGCCGCATCTTGCTTTGTTGTTCTGTTCAGGGCTCCTTCTGGCTCAGCTGCCCTGACCTCAACCCCCTCCCGACCCCACTCCCTACTCCCCACTCCCCACCCCACTCCCCACTCGGAGCCTTGCTGTGGCTCTTTCCCACACTTCTCTCATGCTTGTCACCGGTTTGCTCCTGTGGCCAACAGCCTTGGCCGATTCTCTCCCATTCTCAAACAGACTTCTCCTTAGGCTACCTCCCCTTTTTCCTTATAAACATGTTTTTCTCCATCACAAACTTTTTGCACACGTTGTTTGCTCTCTTTCTGCTTGCTTCGCCACTTCTGAAACTCCAACCCCTGGTCTTCCAGGGGCCGACTTTGCACTTCCCAGCTCGGCCTGCCGAGTTCTTGGTAGCACCCGCCACAGTGACCGCATGCTGCTCCTGCTCCGTGGGGCGGTCTCCCTCGGGCTTTCAGGACAGGATTTTTCCCTGGTTCTCCCTCATCGCCTCTCTCTGCCTCTTCTCAGCCCCATCGTGGCCTTCGTTCACTCTCCCTGTCCTTTTGAGCTGCCCCCTGGTTCCACCCTCTAGGCCAGCGGTTCTCAACCTGTGGGTTGCGACCCCTTTGGGGGTCGAACAGCCCTTTCACAGGGGTCACCTCAGACCATTGGAAAACACATATATAATTACATATTGTTTACAGTAGCAAAATTACAGTTATGAAGTAGCAACGAAAATAATTTTATGGTTGGGGGTCACCACAACATGAGGAACTGTATTAAAGGGTCGCGGCATGAGGAAGGTTGAGAACCACTGCTAGGCCCTTCCACTGCCACGTGTTTTTCTGAGAGCGCTCATCCACTGCTCATGCGTATGCCTCTCAATCCTGGATGTCACTGTCATTCAACAGTAGTTTTGAGAAGTTACTGTGTGCTAAGACCCAGTCATGTGTGACATATACCCAGTCTAGAGCTCTAGACCCATACATCTGGCAGTCACTCTGTTTTCTACGGCTTTAGGATATGTATCTGATTCATGGGTTATCTGAAACAAAGCATAAGTTTATTCTAAAGGGCTCACACACAGCCTTGCCCCACCGCATAGCAGCAGACAATGCCGCCGGCTCAGCTTCCGTCCTGGAGACCACACCCTGGGCCTGGTCATTTCACTTTCTTTGACTAAGAAGTGCAGGGCCACCCTCCAGGACAGCAGGGCCTGGAGTTCTAAGACTATAATTTAGTCCTTAGATATGTCCCTGCCTTTGGAACAGGAAGATATTGATAGAGTCACAAGCTGATGAGAATGGATGTGCAATGTAAGACTTGCAGAGGAAGTTAGTGCTGCCAGTAACAGTCCCTGACGTAGGTAACCGGCTGTCCTGGGAGGGTGAGGCCTACCTGCCTGGAGAATGGTACCAGGTGGACGGGATTCACTGTGAAACTGAGTGAATGCCATGCCTTCCTTTCAGGTGTTGGGTTGGGCAGTTTAGGGAGGACAGAGCGAGCTTCCTCTCGCTGCCCGGCTCAGCCTTGCAGGGCCAGCGGCTCCCTGAGCCGGCCTTACCTCTGCTTCAGAATCTGTTTGTTGTCTTCGATGGTCACGCTGTCAGCGTGGTCCCTCTTGAAGATTTCAAAGGCCTCCTGGCGTCCTAATGACATTTCCTCTCTCATCCCTGTTGGAGACACGAGGAAATGGCCTCAGTCACAGCATCAGGATCCCATTAATTTCATTGTCACTCTAGTCAGACCACAAAGGCGGCCCTGGCTCCGAGAGGCCCACGGCGAGAGGCTCCGGACCAGACAGGTGGCCCCAGGCCCCTCCAGTCGGCCGCCCACCAGGGAGCCCTCGCAGCCACACCCGCTGCACCCCGCTGGCTGGGCCGTGCCTCCATGTGACTGTGGGGGGTGGGGTTTGGAATGTCTGGTCGAAGGAAATGAAAACCAGAGTGCCAAGCCCTCGATTGCCAAGAACATCTGCAAATACACTTTCTGCCATCATTCAGTGCCATATTTCTCCCTGTTTTCCTGTTCCTCCCCACTTGGGTTTTCTGTTAAATTTCATCCTGAATTTCCAGGCATTGAGTTAAAAGAAGTATAATTCAGACCGAAAGATTTCAAATCTAGAAAAGTCTGCTGTTTTCAGACCCAGCCTGTCCTTGTTTCCTGTGGCTAACGAGGGGCCCCTGACCTTCCTCAGAACTTAATTCTCCATGTAAGACCCATGAGCAGAGAGCGGTGCAGGGAGGTCCCTGGCTCATGTCTAACGTCAGCATCCTGTGTCACCGTCGCCACTGCAGACTCCTCCTCCCTGCTGGGGCGCTCAGGGGCCTGATTCTGAAAGCCAGAGTCAGAAGGGCCAGCGCCCTGGGAGTAGCAGGTGGCATCTCTTCCCACACCTCCCAGGGTGAGGGTCCATGCAGGTGTGTGCCTGGGACTCGAGGTGAGAGCTGCATTCACAGCTGTATTTTGGATGAATCTACAATCATTTTTTATGCCTCTGCCCTTCATTCCTTTTTCCATGTTTTTATCCCTTTAATCCCACTTATCTTTGCAGCCCCAGCTGAGTGTTACCACCTCCATGAAGCTCCCCAAGGCCCAGAAGGGCAAATCTTCCCTCCACCATGGACCCATCGATGCCTCTGAAACATGCACAGCCACAGACGCTGTCACTTCACATGACAGTCCTTTCTGGTGAAATGCAAGTTTCTCCGGAGATGGAGAGAATATTTTTTTGGTGAATCCTTGGTGCCTTGTTCAATGACTAGCGTTTAGAATTTGCTCAACATATGTCTGTTAACTGAGTCAGGCCCAGATTGAACTGGGAGTGATGATGAGCCTTCCTTGTTGCCATAGGAATAGGGTCCAGGGCTACAGGGGTTCACTCTGAGGCCTAGGGTACCAGAAATGCATTCATATGGGCCACAGACCACATCTCCTGCCTGCAAAAACCTAGCCTCAGGGTGGGGAACTGGACCAGCCCATCTGACACCAATTTCATGATTGCTGTTGATAAAAATAGCACCATGGAGAATGCCTGAATGGTGAGGCACACAAAGACACCCCACCCTTTCCATCGAAGCGAAGGGGCACAGCTCAGTTCCGTCTGCACATCTGCCCTGCACACTCCAGAATTGGGGCGTGGCCTGGAGACGGGTTTATGAGAGACTCGGAAAGAGAAGCCCTGATGCACAAGCCACATTAACCAGGGGGCACTTTGCTTCCACCAGGAGCCGAGGGACTCACTCCATACCTCTCCCCTGGCCCTGGTCTGTGCTCATTCTAACAATGTATGTTTGCCTTTCACTGCCTAATAAGATAACAACAAGAGGTGAGGGAATGGGTCTCTCTGGAATAGAGGGGGTGGGGGAAGCTGCATAGAGGCCACATTGGAGCCTGCCAGTGGGGTCCCCAAAGTGCTGCCCAGAGAGGAGGAGAGCAGGCTTCCTGGGTAGTGGGAGCAGAAACGACATGGGGTACACAGCAAAGACAATCCAGGAAGGTTGGTTGGGATCATTTTTCAGAGAATCTGTAAGGTCTTGCTAAGAAATCTGGGCCAGTGTGATATCTTATTATATCATATTCCCTCCACCCCCTGCTGGTATTTTATTATATAAAAGTACAAATCAGTACTTTTCAAAGATTTTTTAAAGTTGAGTAAAGCACACATTATGGGGAAGTTGCATGGGAAGTGATTACTACTCTGAGTGAGTTAAGAGCACTGGGTCCTGCAGTGCTATAGGCTTATCGTCAGGAGCATGGTATTGCTTTTCCTCTTGTTGGAATGGAGAAATATTCTGGGATTGAGTTCTCTGAGGGTAGTGACCTCAGGTGGATGAGCATTAGTGTGACGGCCATCATCCTGGCAGTCAGCGTCCCAAGTGTCTGCTTAGAAAGGCCAAGGCGAGGGGGCTCATGATACCCATTGCCTGAAGGCGAAGAGGCAAAACAAGGCCTGGAAGCCTAGAGAGACTTCACTGCTGCCTCATGGAAGGGAGACTGAGAGTCCACAGAGATGACAATGGGAAGGACTCCCCAGGCAGCTGTATGTGAGACCCCAGGCTCCATCCCAGCCCTACTCTTGTCCATTCCAATTATGCTCATTTAGAGCTCATCTAGTCCTTTTGGGTTGTACTAATGGACCACTTCCTATTCTAATTTGGGGTCACCTGAAACGTTAATGAACCCCTTTTTATTTGCTGAAAAGATGTCTCTACCTCGCTTTCCCTCTCAGGATTCCCTTTCTCAGATGACAAGCTCTCGCACACATGGTGTGCAGAGAAAGAGCGGGGCAGTGGAGCACAGGAGTGACCACAGCCTACCTTGCTAATGAGATAATGAGCCTGCCTCTCACTTTAAATCAAAAGCTAAAGGTGATTAAGTTTAGTGAGGAAGGTATGTTGGAAGCCAAGATAGGCCCAAATCTTGGCCTTTTGGGCCGAACAGTTAGCCAATCACTTCCCATGCAACTTCCTCATAATGTGTGCTTTACTAAACTTTAATATGATATAATAAGATATCACACTGGCCTTCCAATGCTAAGGAAAAGTTCTTGAAGGAAACTAACAGTGCTGCTCCAGTGAACACACAGATGATAAGAAAGTGAAACAGCCTTACACCTGATATGGAGAACATTTTAGTGGTCTGGAGAGATGATAAACCAGCCACAACATTCCAATAAGCCAAAGCCTAATTCAGAAAACAAGGCCCTAACTCTCAATTCTATGAGGGCCGAGAGAAGTGAGGAAGCTGCAGAAGAAAAGTCTGAAGATGGCAGAGGTGGGTTTAAGGAAAGAGCCATCTGCATAATATAAAAGTTCAAGGAAAAGCAGCAAGTGCTGATGTAGAAGCTGCAGCAAGTCATCCAGAAGAACTGGCTAAGATAATCAATGAAGTGGCTACACTAAACCACAGATTTCTAATGTAGATTAAACAGCCTCATATTGGAAGATGATGCCATCTAGGACTTTCATAGCCAGAGAGAGGTCAATGCCTACTGTCAAAGCTTCAAAGGACAGGTTGACTCACTTGTCAGGGGCTAATGCAGCTGATGACTTTAAATTGAAGCCAATGCTCATTTACCATTCTGAAAATCCTATGCTAAGTCTGCTCTGCCTGTGCTTTATAAATGGAACAACAAAGCCTGATGATAGCACATCTGTTTACAACATGGTTACTGAATATTTTAAGCCCATTGTTGAGACCTAGTACTCAGAAAAAAAGATTCCTTTCAAAATATTATGGCTAGTTGACAATGCATTTGGTTACCCCAGAGGTCTGATGGAGATGTACAGCAAGATTAATATTGTTTTTATACCTGTTAATACAACTTCCACTTTATAGCCTATGGATCAAAGAGTAATTTTGACTTTCAAATCTTCTTACTTAAGAAATCCATTTTGTAGGGCTATAGCTGCCACAGATAGTGATTCTTCTGATGGGTCTGGGCAAAGTAAATGGAAAACCTTCTGGAAAAGATTCACCACTCATGATACCATTAATGAACATTTATGATTCATGGGAAAAGGCCAAAATATCAATATTAACAGGAGTTTGGAAGAAGTTGACTCCAATCCTCATGGATGACTTTAAGGGGCTCAACACTTCAGTGGAGTAAGTAGCTGCAGATGTGGTGGACACAGCAGGAGAACTAGGATTAGAAGTGGAGCCTGAAGATGTGACTGAATTGCTGCGACTCGCATGAGAAGAATTTAATGAAGGAGCTGCTTTTTGTGAATGAGCAAAGAAAGAGGTTTCTTGAGATGTAATCTATTCTTGGTGAAGATGCTGTGAAGATTGTTGAAATGACAACAAAATTTTAGAATGTCACACAACTTAGTTGAAAAAGCAGTGGCAGGGTTTGAGATGATTGGCTTTAATTTTGGAAAAAAAAGTCGTTGTACTGCAGGTAAAATGCTGTCAAACAGCATCACATGCTACAGAGAAATCATTCATGAAAGGAAGAGTCGATCAATGGGGCAAACTTCATTATTGTCTCATTTTAAGAAATTGCCAGCCCCCTCAACATTCATCAACCACCACCCTGATCAGTCAGCAGCCATCAACGCTGAGACAAGATGCTCCACCACAAGAAGATCATGACTCCCCGAAGACTCAGATGATTAGCATTTTTTATCAATAAAGTATTTTTAAATTAAGGTATGTACATTGTTTTTTTTGGACATAATTCTATTGCACACTTAACAGACTACTGTAGAGAGTAAACATAACTTTTATATACATTGGGAAACCAAAAACATTCATGTGACACACTTTATTGTGATATTCACTTTATTGCGGTGATCTGGAACCTAACCTGCAATGCCTCCAAGGTATGCCTGTATTACCTTAGTTAAACTTCTCCATGATCCATGGTCATGATTTTATTGTACAGATGAGGAAACTGAGACTCAGTAAAGAAGTGGGTCTAGGGGTAAAACTCTCCCAGCTTTTAGAGACAGGCTAGTTCTCCTCTTTGATCAGTTTTTCCAAGGAGAGCATGCCTGACAGAGGGGAACAGGTGGTAGACCTCCAGATAACCTGGTGGTAGTTGATTTACCCATAAAACTATGCTCTTATGAGTGCTCATTTGTCTAAAACTTTGAGCTTTCTTTATTGCATTACAGGGAAAACAGAACCATGAATTTTGTTTACTGTCTGCATAGTTTATTTCC